TCGTATAAAATTAGCGTTAACTAATAAAATACCCATTAGAATTTTTTTTCATTCATCATACCCGAACGTCCAATCACTAGATTGGGATACGATTTAGACATTTTTAAATATGTACTAGCAAAAATTTGCTGTTATTCCATATGAAATATAATATGGAATTTTCTATGATGATTTTAGGTAATGGTTGTTGTAATGGTTTCTGATGGTTACATAAAATCAACTTTAATTCATTCCAGCGTTGAACATAATTTCAATCGAGTAAAGTTTGAATCAAATTGATTAAAAAATCAGGGTAAATAGTCATTTACACCAAGATTCAACAAAATTGAGAGAGTTTTGCCTAGGGATAAGCTTTCATACAATTTACTAATGCATTTGGTTTAAATATTTCATTACTTAAAGGGTGAGAACAAATTCACAGAAAATAAGAAAAATTATTCAAAAAGGTTGAAATATTTTCACATCAACATAAACTATCACATTATTAGTGGTAGTGATTACTTAGTAATCTTCATAAAGTTATTAATGAAATGAAGTAAGAAAAATCCTAAGAGAGTTAATGTTAATACCCAAAAATATATAACTAATCTCGTAATATTTAAGGGCTTCTTTGGGAGTATCATAAGTAAAAAACGTCATCAAAGACAGAAGCACCATTCATTACACAAAATTTGAGAACCACTACAGTAAAGTAACTATTTATCTAACCAACTATACATTACAAAAATATTGAGAAGGCTAACATCCAGAAGAATCCTAGACTTCACTTAAAGAATTGTAGACTTCATTTAATGAAGAAAAATCATAGACTTAAGTTTATGAAGAAAGTTCATAGACTTCACTTTCCAAAGTGAGCTCTAAAGGTTTATTTTATTTTATTAGAAGTTTTCGAACTTACACGATTTTTGAAAATAAAATTTGTTTAGCGTTAAACACTAAACTATATTTTGCTTATACATATTTATAATACAATTTTCATTGTTTTACTGTTAAAATACAACACTACAAAATGCACCTTACAGTTACGTATTTTTAGTAGTCTATGAGTATGATTAAAATATGTAGATAAGATGGAAACCCCCCATTTTATGACCAAAACTAAATTTTATGTGTGTATAAGCTAGTTCGTTTGGAATACCAAAACAAAGATTTTGTGAATCATTTTGTTTTTAATTAATGTTTATATATAATTGATAGTATAAATTTGATCAAGGTGAGCTATTTGCTAGAATAGAATTTATTAATGGAATAAATTAATATTCGTACAATTTATTAAATGTGTTTGATATTAAATATATTAATATTTATTTTTAGGTCGATGTGTTTCTTATTCATTATATTCAAAATTGACAAAAAGGGCATTTTTAGTGATTTTCGTTTAACACAATTATTCCATATAAAAGTTAATTTTTCTAGTTACACGATTTTTATGGACCCTATCTTCCGTGTAAAACAGGTGTATTATACACGTATATATATATATACACCGTGTATATAGTTATTAGCTGATCACGGTATAGAATGTACTTAAGGGGGGCGTTCATTAATCGTGAGGCTATCAGGGGGAGGGGGGTTTGACAAAAAATCACGTAAAGGGAGGGATGTAGTAAGATATCACGTGTATTTATTTTTACCTAAATTTTCAAATAAAAAAAACAAATATTATTCGTCGTTCTCGTAAATTGGATAAATTTGATCGGAAAATTATATGTAATTAAAAATGCACGTAATATTTGTGAGGGAAGGGGGTGTGATACTAAATATCACGACCAAGAGGGAGGGGGGTCTTTAAATCTCTGAAAAATCGATCACGTGATTATTAAACGCCCAATAATTCAAAAATATTTGAATTGTTTCTTGAATGTTATTATAGAAAATTTAAATATTATTACAATATAATAATTATTATTATGTTTTGATACGCATATTATGCGTGGGCACGTGTTCGAAATCCTCCCAATGTATTTGTGAATATGCGCGCTATTATATAGATGATACACAAATGAGTTTTGCGCGTCAATTTTTTAATAAAAGTTTTAACTGAATTTGTTGGGAAAAAACAATAATCCAATCACTGTGGAGTGATGCAATGAAAATATCAAATTGATGATTGTTTGTTTTGAAAATACAATATATGATATTCATCAGCGACCAATTATTCGATGGAATTATTGATGACAATGTTGACCTTTAGGATATATATTCGTCATAAAGACTAATTAGTTTAAAGAGCTCGAGTATAAATATTTATATTTGATATATAATAGCTTACTGTTTATAAGGGTAGTCAGATTATCATTATGTTTTATTGTTATATACGATGATGCTATAGCATCCATGTCAAGTATTACGCTTCCATTTCACGCATAGTGCTTGCTCGAACTATGTGCAAATTAACACAACTTGATAGAAAAAATTTTTTGGCTTAAATTAACTGGCGAACTAATATCAAAGATTATGTAAAATATTTGTGTGCTAAACAAAAGTATAAGAGCAGCTCTATATCAAGAAAATAAGTGATATAAAAAACTTTTATAAATGCGTATTAATAATGGAAATATAGATATTAATGCACCACCAGCTAATGATGATGAATTAAAAAATCCAAAAATTTCTCCATATAGTGCAGTTCAAAAATTCGTGCTATGGGATACATAATTTGATTATAAGTTATCAACAAATCTCTAATAAAATTCAGAGGTTTTTGACTAAAATCAATAGCTTAATGAATTAGAACAAATTCGCCATAATTATTGTATCCGTATCAAATCTAAATATTTATGTACTTTTTGCTAATTATTTTGGTACATTCGCCTAAATAGAATAATATTTGATATAATCGCCTAAACAAAATATCATTTAAGATTTATATATGACAAGCTATAGAAATAGTTCAACTAACACAATTGCAAATATATATAAACACCTAATTATATCTTTAATAAGCTATGTCCAATTTACTAGGCCAATATACACATTGCAAAAAACGCCAAGCCAAACTATTTCCTGATTGATCCCTAGCAATTTTATCCATACTCCTTTTGCAAACCAATGAAATGTGTTTTTTTTGAAAATTATTAACTTTTCCCTTTTTTTGCCCAAACCCAAGTCCATTTTACTCGTGCCGCTCTTGAGATCATCAGAGAACTACCTTGAAAGACCTTGGAAAACTTTTATAGATTTATAACATAGAAAAGATGCAAATCTAACTAAATCTCCGAGATATTGATTGATTGACTCTCTATAAAATACCAAATATACCCAAATATTCCAAAATACACCCAATATTTACAATACTTTTACAAGGATTCAGCTATTAGTGTTTTTTAATTGTTTTAATCACTACAAGTGCTATAAAAACATAAAACTTTTATGATTCTTTTGTTGACTTTTCACCTGGGTTAGATAATTTTACTCTGTCTATATTTTAATAGGAATAATATGAAAAATATTCTTTTTAATCGGTAGTTCAATATTTTTGCTTGCTGATTTGATTACATTATTGTTCGGACGTATTTTCGTTTTATTATATTGGCCATGAAGGTGAAAATCTTCATGGCATTGAGTTTTTACACGGATGGTTGCTACCCCTGGTAGAGGGGTAGCAGAGAGTTTAATAGGACTATTGTTCAATTCTAAAAGAAAAGCCCGCGAAACAAGATGTTTAATAATAATAAATAAATATAACTTCTTTCATTATAACTTAGTGACAAATCAGTGATTGTAATAAGAACTGCAAACAAATAAATAATATACAAACAAATCAGTATTTAGCTACTTGGGTTAAATTATAACCCAACAACCTGAGTTAATCGAAAGAGAGTTTAAAATTAATTAATAAATTCTATAACTACGTACATAGAAACAATTATATTGAAATTATATTGACTCTATATAGGTAAATTAACCGATCAAAAAGGATATTTCTCATTTTATGCTAATAAAAATGGACGAAGCAAAATTATCTTACCGCGATGAAAATAGTATAGAAATCAAGAAATTACATGTTTTTCATATCACTTGTAGTGATTGAAGCAATAAGAGGACACTAATGACTGAATCCTCAGGTTCTGGTTTATAAGGAATAAAATATTGTGTATATTGCATATATTCTAATATGAAGAAGATAAAGACAACGAGCATCAACAACCTCATTTCAAATGTAGGATGGTCCGCCTTAAATTTGCTTGATAACAATCTCTAATATGCATTATTAATCGAGTTTTGCAAAATTTTCAGTGCCCGTCGGTTACCATGTGAGAAGATACCACTTTTTCTAGTATCTACTGAACATTTGAATCCAAAATTCTTTATTTAAATTATTATTATAAACGTGGAATCCACGTTTATAACAATAATTTAAATAAAGAATTGGGATTCATGTTTAGTAGATACTGATCATAGTTAAACAAGTATTTATAGATCGCAAACACAGCAGTTTTGATTTTACCTCATTGGTTCAGCACATCATAGATGTAGCCACCAACCGTAGCACGTAAATTTACCATCAGGTTTAATTCTAGATAGGATTTATATAAATATATAATATAGTAAAGATAAACCTGATTAATTTGACTGAATAAAACGAGAACAAAATAAACGCGTACAAAAAAATATTTTCAACAAAATCACAAATATATTTCTAAAACTATATTTAATTAGAAAAAAATAGACTTTCAAAGTACGTGCACTATAATTAGAGCAACAATATTTTAAAACAAACGCTAAATTTGAAGCGCAATACTACCATCAGTGATATGCTAAAAACACTAATACGGAGTAGAGCGCATTTGTTCTGAGTTTACCCCTATATCACCCCCATGGTACTGGTTTATCACCGTGTAAAAGATACCACTTTTTTCTCTTGTCCCACGTACAGAACAAGAATTTCAATAATTACTTTGGGTTTCAGCAAACACGTATATCAAAAAGCTCGATCACAGCGTAAATAATACGATAATGAATAAGACCTATAGTGTGTTATTTATAAAAAGGTTTCACTAACCTGGCGATGACGACGAACAGTTGGTGGTCCGTGTCTCCGCTGAGTGATTGCTAGTCCGACCGTGCGGAGGCGCCGAAAACGCACTGGAACAACTTGTATGACGAACTAAGATTGGCGAACCGGGTCCTGAAATTTAATTAAAAATAGAGGGATGAAGTGAATTAATTTATAATTTGGGATAATGCAAGTTGCATAGAGATAGGACTGGTTTAAAAGTATTTGTTCATGCAAATTTCAGGCAAAATAAGACAGAGTAGCAAATAGTAAAGTAATTATTTGTGATTGTCCTGGATCTACACTACTTGTCTAGTCATCATAGTAAGTTCACCTCGGAATTCGAGATATCCAGCTGTAAGTGTGTAAATACTTGTATATTGACACCCTAAAGTTGTCTCAAAACCTACATATGGTAGGGTGTCAATACTATATATAGATTTTGAGACAACATTAGGATGTCAATATACAAGTATTTATACCCTAAAGTTGTCTCAAGACCTACATATGTTAGGGTGTCAATACTATATGTAGGTTTTGAGACAACTTTAGGGTGACAATATATAAGTATTTATACCCTAAAGTTGTCTCAAGACCTACATATGGTAGGGTGTCAACACCATATGTAGGTTTTGAGACAACTTTAGGGTGTCAATATACAAATATTTAAAAACTTACAGCTGGGTATCTCGAATTCCGAGATTCTTACCTAATTTAAGCTTAAATGACTGGACTATACTGACAATCGATTTATTTTTTTAAAAAAATACAGAAATGTACTAAAATACTGAGGGTTCAATCGAATTACTCATTTTACAAAAAAAAACAGAAATAATACTGATTAATTTTACTTTGAATTGGGGAGGCGTCAATTAATCACGTGAAGCCTAGGAGAGAGGGGTTTAACAAAAAATCACGTGAGAAGAGGAAGGTTTAGTAAAATATAACAAGTATATATTTTTTAATAAATAATTGAAATAAAAATTTAAAAAATTCAAAAATTTCCAAAGATTGAAGCTTTTTTTCTAGGTAGACGTTTGTTTTTTTGGTAGATAAGGTTTCACTAACAGCAAATACATAGCTTTTTGGTAGTTTTTATTACCAAATTATACGAAGATTGGCCCGTAACCAATTACCAAACAGTTGCCAAAACAACACTATGTTACATTTCAATTTTTATGGGAGAATTTTCCCCTGAATGAAGGCTAGGACTATAGCTGAAACGTGTAGATTTAAATGAAATATATTTTTATTGAGTAGACTTTGTCCATATATGACTGGCAAAGTAACAAATATAAAAGTAACGAGAAGAGTGGGATTGAAGAAATTTATTGGATTATGAAACGAAAGGAACACTGGAATGGATTCATATTGAATGAAGATGAATAAAACATGAAACAAAAATATTGGAAGATAAGGCACAAAATAAGAAATTGAGCTACTTTAAAAGTAGAACATAGAATAACAAATTATAATCAGGAAGGAAAAAAGTCCAGAACTGAGGTTCATTGAATCTGATTTAGAGCAATCCAGTAATATTAACAATAGTAAACAGTCAATAACAATAACAACAGCAACGAATGATATATTCATTAGACATTTCTGGTAGACGTTGATACATAAATGTGAAAATGTTAGCAGCCAACTGCTAAACATCCTAACCAGAGATGTTTTACTGATCAAGCATGCAGGTTTCTTAAAACTATTTCGTTTTTATTCCAAACTTTGATCAAATTTGAAATTGATGGACCATAGATTATGTATTTTTTGCCTTCATAAATTGAGTAATGTTTTCTTACTTTTTGTGTGTTTTTTAACTAAACTAATTAAAAACTAAATTGAACGGCATCTGAGAAATCTAAACGATCCAAGTTAAGTACAAAGTAGATTAAGAAGATCTGTAATTCGCTGCTAAGTATTAAAATTCAATTTCTTTTAATTATCGTTACGTTCACACTTTTTTCAGCCTACTACTCATATTTCCACAAATTAAGAATTTTATACACAATTTAAAAATTTATCTATATTTATGTTTGACATAAAATTTAATCTACTAACCTGAAGCAATTGTGGTGGTATTGATCGCATTATGTGGAGGTCTCATGCTGGATAAGGCGCCCAAAGGAGTATAACTGCCCCCAACGGAACTTTCAGAGCCAGAAACATCCTTAGTACCTTCAATTAAAAATTGAATCACCCATTAAAATTGTGGAAATACATACATTGTTCCTATCTAAGTTACTCGTTTCGTGTGTATTAGCAATACAGTTAAATTCATTATAACAAAAATAGCTTAGGTCTAGACAACTAATAACTATGTTCTTGTTAAATATTTACATTAAAAAAATACTAAAAATATTTCAATTACTAAATATAAATTACTAATGAAGTTGGCATTATTTTGCATAAAAAATATTTATTTTTGAAATCTACTGTTTCCAAATTTATTAAACATTTCCAATATTTTCTAATTTTTAATAAACATATTATTTATGTTCATAAAATCGTTATTCGCGTTATCCTTTTATAAATAAAATTTGTTATATGAATCTTAATGTGTCTGCTAAACCTATACCTATTTCTATTCTAATACACACACTTTTTAGTCCTTGTAGTTTGTCTTTAGCCAAATGACAAAAAAATTAATATTATATATTATACACACCTGTTTCCAGCAGAACACCATTGCTGCTGCATGACGATGAGGATGAAATGTGATAACGACTTCGGTGCAGATGGCTCACGGAAGACGACTAAAAATTTTAAATCAAAATCAACATGATCATCATCACGTTTATAAAAGAGAGCATTAAAATAATTAAGATTGTATTGATAGTAATCCTTCATCAAATGATTAACAAAAATTTTGTTTGAATAAATGTAAAGTAAAATGAAGTAGTGCGGGAGTGAAAATTCTGCGAAGGCGAAGCGACTATTTTCGACAATAAAAATGTTTAATTTTATCTTATAATTTGCAAAAAATAATACCGAGTGAAATGAAATTATTATGCCTAAAAATGACCTCAGATGGAGAAGAAGTTCAAAGAGTTGTATTGGCTAATTGGTAGGAGTTCAAATATGTGCTATGAAAACAAACTCATTTTATATAAAACAATAAGTATCCCGGCATTGAGCTATGGGCGTGCGCAAGCAATTCAAATATAAAAAATACAAGTAGCGCAATCGAAAATTTTAAGATGCATTGTAAACGCACCCTGGTATGCCACAAATGACACCCTACATAACGACCTAAAAATAAAAACTATTAATGAGATGATAAAAGATAGGAGCAAAAAATACCACGAAAAACTACCAGGTCACCCAAACATATATATTTAAAAGAGTTAAGCGTCAAAAATAAAAAAGAGAGATATCTCATAGGAGATAATCTCTTAAATGCATTAACACCAACATCATATTGTCTTAAAAAATGTATATTATTTTGATTGACAATAAAACTATGCAAAAAACGACCTTAAATAAATAAATTAATTAATATTGAATGCAGCTTTTCATACTTAAAATTCAGTACTAAAAAGCAAAGATATCAATTAATTCCATCAGTCGGAAGCTAAAATGGACTTTTACTTTTTTTTAATTTTTGATCAGCTACCTGAACGATTTTATAATATGTTGTAATGAATATTTGCTTCAACAATGCCGTTTTTTAGAATAAAATCCAAAGCCTAATCTATCTGGTCTATGAAGACTTCTATATTCAAAGCCTGGTCTATGAGAACTACTATAGTTGATTTAGATTTATCTTGTACTGATGATATATGTTTAATGTTATGTAGCAATACTAGGAAGTGCTAATTGCACTAATAAAAATATGTTAGGTCTATATTTTCAAGTAAAAACCAAAATTGCTACTGCTAATAGAGTCAGAATGTCCAAAGTAGGTATCCAACATGGAACTCTAAAGTTGAAAGACCAAAACTTTAACCACTATGTCAAGGAAAAATCCTAGCTTCCAATTAAAATTGCATATTTCCACATCAAATTTATAACTAAAAATTTAAATGTTATAATTTTTTAATTTTAATCAAAAACCGTCCCGTTTCACCAAACGTTTTTGTTACGCTACCAATTTAAAATGCCTTATAATTATGGTCTGTTATCTAGTATGAAGAGTTTTTTCTTGGCACGCGTTAAGTGATAAATTAGTAATTCGTCTCAAATTACAGTGATTAAATCAGATAAGATTATTATCATAATTACCGAAGCCGTCCTGTGATGGTGCAGCCGTCGGTGGAGAGTTGACCGAGTAGTCGTATTCAGATATACACCTGCAACAATGGTAAAAAAGAATATAAATAGGTAATTAAATGAAAAAGTTGACATCTATGTATGAATAATTTTTATGTAGAATATTTTATGTCTAATCTGATTAACAAAACCCGGCAATTTTGGCGCTTAGGACCTTTTTAAGGGCCTAGTCTACATAAAATCTTAATAGGGCCTTTATTTACTAAAACTGCTTTATTTAACTAATAGATATTTGAAGCTATAATAAAAGAAATTTACTAAAAAAAATTATTTGTGACAAAATAAGTTTTCAAGCAAAAATAGCTCTTCCCATCATTACTGCGATATGTTAAAATAAATCATCACTATTGCAAAAAAAATAACAACCAGGATATATATGTACGAATAATTTTTATGTAGAATATTCTATTTAGATATTTATGACTTATACTTATGCAGGAGATAATATTCAGATTTGTATATGATAAAAAGACCCTATTCAGTTTTAGACTGTCCTTTTCTAATTTCAATCAATAAACGCATAGAAAAACCGATTCTGACACAAATAGACCAATTTTATGGCGAAGCTATGTTTCCTATACCAAATGGTACTAAATACTGTCAAAATGTCATGTATTTGCTGTGCGATCAGGCGTTTTAGACATAAAATTCAACTTTTTTTTCGACCTCTCTTACTCTGAGCATTTAGACTCCTACAACATTTTTATTTATTTCCATTCTATACTATTTTTATATCATATTCAATCTACATATATCCTATTCTATATTCTTCTTAATTTTTCTTCTTATTTTCTTCAATTCTATCTTTTTCATATCAAATTTCTAATTCTATTCAACTTCTATCTTCATTTTTTTTTTATTCATTCTTTTAACCTCAGCAAATTCTAATATTTTTTATTCTTATTCCTAATACAATTCAGCAACTCGAATTCTGTAATTCCTATTTTTCTTAATTTTTATTCAATTTCTACTTATAACAAATACAATTTTATTTCATTTCAAATTGACTACACAATTTTTTCATAAATTCTACTATGTGAGCTATGAACGCCACAAAATGCAACTTCATTCATATGTTATTATGCCACACCACAAAGATGCAGTTATGATCACATCATTTTTTTGACAATTGCGCGTTTTCTAGGTTAGGTTTTCTATCTAAAGCGCCTGACTAAATAACAACCAAATGACTTTTGACAGTATTTAGTACCACTTTGTATAAAAACTGCTACATTACAGTCTTGCCATAACATTGGTCTATTTTACGGCAATATCGCCCCCAAAAATATTCATTTGTATTATATCTAATAATCGAATAATACTATTGGTGTCTTTTAATATAGAAGTCGGAATAAAATATTAAAACTTTTTTTTTTAAAAATGCAATAATTTAATTTAATTATGATGGTTAAAATTAGAAGCGATATAGTTTAAAGGTTCAATAAATTATTCCATTATGAAATTCAAATTGTTCATTTTCGTTTTTGGACAATGGTTTTCCAAGAAGAAGAAAACATCTGAAAATGCACTTCTTATTATCAGACATGAATATTTGACAATAGTTATAATATTTTCTACTTCTGAAGTCATTTTTTTAATCTTACAGTTTTAGTTGTTGTACAACTACTAAAAACATTTTCAAATTCTTCAATATATAAATTATCAAATTCATAAAATTTAAAACTAAATATTTTCAACCTAAATACTCAAATAATTAGCAATTTCTAATAACAAACAATAATCAAAAAAGCATTTTATCAAGAAAAATAAAAAAGTTCCAGGCAGCAAAAAAAAACTCAGTTGGAAGCAAATAAAATATTACTACAATCTTACTCTTATAAAAATCAGAATTAAAATTTTTATTCTTATAAACTCAAAAAATCAAAAAAAAAGTTTCACTATCACTTTTATAATTTTTCAACAAAATTAACGTCCAATTGAACATTGAACTAAATTACGATCAATTAATTATACTAATATAATGAAAAACCAAAAACTTCAGTTTAAAGACTTATTTTTTAATCATACAAACTCAATTGTGAAAATTTCGTTCACGTTAAGAGTATAACTAATGTCTAAATTAAAAAAAAAATAAACAAAACTTTATATAACAGATTTATCAAAACTATTATAAACGCAAACAAAAAGCCTGGGAAACGGAAAATAAAAAGCATTTATATACCACACAAACCAACCAGTATTTGCTGACGACAGTTATATAGGAAAAACGATTTTCTTCCGTAATATATTACGACTTTTATGTCAAATACGATCATCATACTCGGAAAACTCGCAGTTACTATTAAAACCATTTTTCGTTAGAGGCATAGTTCAACGTTTTTATCGAATATGTAAAATGAGATTCTTGAATGATTTATAATAAATAAATAGTTGAATTAGGATCATATTTATGGGAAGATTTAGAAGAATAGAGACAAACTATTAAAGCGCGTAAGCGTCGCGTCTCTATCTAGCGGGTGAAAATTGGTACGGAACCGTTAGAAATATAAACAAATTTTCTACTTTTTAAAATCTCTATGAAATATCTGGTAATATGATGTGCATATGTCTAATGATCATTTTTGACCTCCAAATAGCTTTTTTTTATTTTTCTTCATTGAATCTCCGAAACCGCTAGACCTGCCTTTCCAATAATTCAATCAGTTCTTCATTTTGTCAATACAAATGAAATGTTTTTATTTAATTATTCAAATCGGTTGATCCAGGCTCCCAAAATCGTCGACTAAAATTTGTATCCGCACATAAACACACATACACACACTTCCACATCCACACACACGTACCTCCATGTTTTCTAATGTATGCCAAAATGTTCAGAAACCTTTGAATTTCGAACTATTATCACTAAAAACTATTCAATACGATTAGTTTTTTTAATTGGTACATCTTAAACAAAATTATAATATCTGTAACTGTATTAATTAAGTTAATTTTACTACATAATCTATAAATGTATTTTACTTGATAGGATGTCAACGGTGATCAGTACAAACACAGCGTCTCATTATTTCAAACGTTAATGAATTTTTATAATTAAACAATTTTTCGTAGGGCTATAATATTTTAGAAGTTTTGTTGAATGAAAAATGTTACTGTACTAAATTTTAATAACTAATTACAAAGAAACGGCCCGGCTTATCTTTATCATAAATAAATTATGTAACTATGATTAATAATTTTAAATGTATTATTAATATTATACTATAATTTAAATTTATTACTAACAGTTATTGAATTTTTAAATCGGTTCAGTAATTTTGACCAAAAATGTTGGCCTTATCGGCAAATTATAAAGAAATGGTTTGGCCGATCACCGCACAAAACTAATCAACTCTAGTCATTGCCTTGTTCCATCAAAAGGAATTTAAATTTTTATAATCTTTGCAGCCGTTTTTGAGAAAACGTCGATGAAACATAAAATTTAAGCCCATATACAGACATATACAAATACTTTTTCCAATTTTAGTATCAAACGCTTCAGAATAACATGAAACGTCAAAAAACAAACTTTGCTAAGTCAAACTTTCTGATGGAAACATAAACTTTTCCATCGGCAAATATATAAAAATTATTTAAAAATTGAGAAAAGTCAGTGTAATTTCTTAAGAATAATTAATTAATTTGAACGAGTATTTTCGTACTAAATTAATACCAAAAGAACATAATTTAGTATAGAATGAAACTAATTAATCTCTACCTCACCTGTAATTGTGACATCAGTATCTTGATTGACGATGAGAGAAACTTCATGCTCCTCTTCTTTCTTGATCGAGTCCAAAACCTCCAAGTTTGTGCTGGTTCTATTTTAACTGCATTTTTGTCAGATTTTATGGTACCTGAAAATAATCAAAATATAGCATATTAAATAAAATACTCAATTATTATCGATAATCAACAAAATATTGTAAAGATTAATTCTTTGAAGATTATACGGCCAAGAGGCTGTGTTTACATAAAAATAAGGCTGTCTGATTAATTTGTACTATATCCTAATACAAAAGAAATAGAAAAAATGGAAATGAGGTTCTAATAGAAGTTTATTAATATATAGATATATCAATAATGTACTTATTTGTTACAAAACTTAAGCTTTCATTTAATCATTTTTCAGAAATATATTCCAAGTAGATACGCCATTGGGTGTATCTACCATTATCTGATCAATATTATTTCCTCATATATATTTTAGCAGTCTCTGATTAATGATTTAGAATATCAAGATTGCAGAATAATAAAAAATTGAAATAAATTATCTGAACAATGAGTATTCTCACCTCCAGCTACTTTGTATATCGGGTCATCCAAAGATCCATCACTAGAACTGCTGATACTCGAGCTGCTGCTACTTGATGAACTGCTAGCCCCCAAATCACCCCCCAAATTTCCTCTCCTCGAAAACTTCCTTTCGTTCTCATAACTCGCAGCCAAAATTGCAGTCGCATTCAAAGAAGCCATCCTCTTCCTCACTACCATATCTTTAAGATCCATTGTGACATCTAAACGGTTTCTTTTGCGTTTCACCTTCACCACGACCTTGTCTTTATTATCTTTATTAGAAGCTGCACTTTTGGAGATCATTTTAATAGGTTTCTTGACACTCTCGCAATCTGAGTCACTGGCTATGGATGAATTACTACTTATACTAGATGCACTTCTACAAGAAGATGCTGATGTTGAAGATAGCTCATGCATATCCCAATGTTTGCCAACGCTTGGCATGGCGCAACTCCTTAAAGTTCTTGGTATTTTTTCAGCTACCTTGTCTACATCGTCTGGCACAGGTTCTGGTTCTTGTTTTTCAGATTTTTTTGTGGTCTTTAAGAGACCTAGTTCAAAAGCTGATCTGCACTCGTTTTCATACAGACAATGTACTTTGGCTAGCGCATTCAAAGATGCTACCCTTCTACCTTTTGGTGCATTCCATAACTTTTTCAGACGTTTGGAAGGTTCTGGTTTTATTCGTCGTTTTTCTACTTTACAAACTTTCTGATTATTTGTATCTTTCTTTTCTTCTTCATGATCACTATTTTCCTTTTTCACTTCTTTGATATCAACGTCACAGGTGGCATTTGAAGATGCATCATCAGAATCACTCTTTTCTTTTTTTATGTTCTGCTCAATTTTTTGTGCTTTTCTGTTCTTTGCATTGGCATTTTTCTTTGATTTCAATTTTAATTTGATAGTCGTTAAATTGCAAGAATCACTCAGGCCGATTTTTGTTTTAACTACACGTTTCAAAGCATTTGCGTGTTTTTTCAATTGTATTCCTTCAGAACGCTTCTTCATTGGATTCGGCGATGGTTTGATCTTTTTGGCTACATGCTTGAGTCTTTTAATTGGATGTTGATTGTTTGTATTGACTCTTGGTTTTTTAACTGATTTTTTAGAGTTATTTTCTAAAGAATTATTTGAGTTTTTCTCATTTTCCAAATGTTTGGCCAACTTCTTTTTGACAATTTTACCACCAGTTTTTTCATTTTCATTTGACTTATCAACATCAGATTTTTCTTGTTTTTTCTGCATTTCAATGTTTTCGTTAGGTTTAACTTCGTCTTCAAGTTTTTTATTATCATCACTTACATCTTTTAAATCCTTAGGCTTCACAGTCTTCTTTTTCTTCGCAGATTTTTCGGGCAAATCATTCTGCTGATCAGTTTGCTTATCAGTTGGTACTTCGTCTATTTTGCAATTATCTTGTTTGCGCATTTTCTGATTAATAGTCATCTTTAATGCTTTTGCAAAGGCGTTTATTTTTTCTGAATCAAGTTTTAAAGTTTTAGGATTTTTAGTTTTGACTAATTTAGGTTTTACTGCACCTTTTGGTTTCAAAGCAGTTTCTTTCGCATTATTTTTTTTCTTAGGCTTATCTGCACCCGTTAAAGCCTTTTCAACAGAGTTTTTATTTGTAGAATCAATTGACGAAGCTTTATTTTCATTCGTTTCAATATGTGAAATATCCTTGTTATTTTCAGCTTGTTGAACTGAAGTAGAATTTTTATTAGTCTTGGCATTAGCTTTTTTCTTAGTAATGTCTTTTTTCTCAATTTGAGTGCAAACTGCATTATTGTCTAATTCCGGCTTGAGTTTTTCTTTATCTTTTCCATCTTCATTGGATAGAGTTTCCAATGCGCTTTTAGATTCTGTATCTACTTTTTTTGTTGTAGACACAGTTTTAGTGCCTTTAGTTTTAACAGTTGCTGTAGTCTTAGGCTTCCTTTGCTTAGGTTGTTTTTCAATATCGATCGTTTTGTCAGAGTTATCAGATTTCAAATTAGTTGCTATCTTTTTAACATAGGACCTCTTAACGTTTTTTTTGACCACCAGGCTTGTTGTGTCAGATTTGCTATTTTGATCAAGTGTTGGTGATTCTTTCGTCGCATCATTTTTGGCATGAGAATTATTATCATTTGATGTAGGAGCTTCCTTCTTTGTATCCGTATCTGGAACCTTATCAACTTGATTCAAATTAGATATTTTATCACTACTGCATTGAGCAACTTGAACATTATTTTCCGCAGTAACTGTTTGAGGTACCTTAGATTTTGTAACTGTCTTTTTCTTAATTTTTTTGTCTGCCTTGTTATCTAAATCATTCTGCACTTCATCTTCATTAATATTTTTTGTACTTTTCTTGGTCGCCGTTTTCTTGACTGTCTTTTTGGCACTATTGTTAGAACCTAACCCTTTTGCTACTGCTTTTTCTTTTTTCTGCTCGTTACTGGATTTGGGAGTCTTTTTTGAAATTTCTGGTTTAGTTTCAGTATTTTGAGTTTCATTCTTCTTGGCTTTAGTTTTTTTATTATTAGTTGGTGTAGAATCCTGAATTTTATCATCATCACATGCACTATTTTTCGGATCACATTGATTGGAAGAATCAGGCGTATTTTTCTTAGAACCTATATTTTTAGAAATAGCTTTTGAAACTGGCTTGCTAACTTTTTTATCATTATTTTTCTTCTGACTTGTCGTTTTTACACTATCTTTGTCAGAAACATTAATTTTTGGAAGGTCAACTGGCGAATCTTTTTTACCTTGTGAGTTCTTATCACTTTTTAATGAGTCGTCCGAAATTGCAATAATCAAAGGAGTAGATGCATCAGTTTGTAGCTTATTAACGTTTCCTTTTTCTGTTTCCAAATTTTTTTCTTGAGGCGCCACTGTAGATTCTTCTTTAACATTTTTCTTAGCAGCTATCTTCTTATCAACTTTCTTATTGACTTCAACCTTATTACCAGTTTCTTCATTTTCTTCCGTGATTAAAGTGGTTGGTGCTTTTCCAAAATTAGATGCTTCATTTGCCAATTTTTGTTTATTTTTCCAGAGCTTTTCAGTAAGATCCTTAACAATTTTTAATTTATCTCGGAGAGTTTTTCCAGCGTTTGCTTTAAAACTTGCAGATTTTGAAGCAGTGTTCTTAGCAGATTTTAATGGGGTCTTTTTGACAACGGGGCGCGGAGCCCCCTTGGGCCCCCTGGCGGGGCTCATGACGAAGTTGCGCAGAAACAACTTCTTCTAGGTTGAATTCACCATCTGAAAAAGAGGGGAATAAATATTAATACTACTAGTATTACAAAATAATTTTAATAATTCAAATGGGCTAACACCAAATACATTTTACACATAATTTTACATTTAGCATAATTGATTAGTACATCGAAGATATAAATGGAACATGCCATTATGAAAAATGAACGTGAAAACAATATCTGAAACATGTTACTTTCATGAGCCGGAAAAAAAGATAATTTGTAATTCGATTAGGCATAGTATACACGAGTATCGTGTAAAAATGTCACAAAAATGTACACTAGAGTTTTAAATGTAAAATCTATAATTAACTTATATTAGGGCATACAAATAACGATCAAAGGCACAATATATGAGAATTATCAAGGCCAGGTATACTCTGCAGCTATGTATTGTTCATCAATTATTTTTCAATAAAAAAGTAATCATATAATAAATCAATTGACGATTTATATAACTTATATTAGGATTATGTGCATACTTAATTAAATGCATTTCTTAAATAAAATATTAAAAAAATATAAAACAGAATAAAAAAAAACACCTTTGAGGTGTGGCCTTATACTAGACTATTTTGTCTGATGTATCATTTTAACACTATCAGAATTTAGGTGTCTTTTAGCATCATGTGATAATTTATCTTATAATTAGCTAACTACGTCGATTAGATAGCTTCTTTATAAAACCAACTGTTTTATAGAACTAAAATAGTTGTCTTAATTCTATGTGATAAATTTTGTTACAATTTCCATTTCTGTAATACTGGTAATTTTTTTATTAATGCAGCAATGGCTAAAATGCGGATAAACGATTTTTCCACTTGGAAACATACTATTGCTATCTATATTAATTGAAAACCAATGGCACTACTGCTTGACATCAGTCTACCCGAAGTGAGATCAAACAAGGGATTTCGAATTGAAATCCCATAGCTTTAACCACCAATCCAGGAAGAAAATAATAATAAGAAAATATTTTTTCTTCAATATCTATCTCTAATTGTGTTTCTCTAATTCTATCACAGCCAGGCTTATACATATTTGGTCAACTCTTACTCAAGGCTACTAATTTATTCGACAAAATTAAAGATATTGTTCTGGTCCTAAGTTTCTTAGAAGAACGCGAAGGAAAACCAATTCAAATTCATAAGAAATATTCAATACTATATTCACTAAATAAAAAAAACTATATTTCATTTACATTCCCTAGGGTAAGTTGTAGTATGAGAACAAAAAAAATCGAAAATGAAAATTTGTATACATCTTTATGTTTCAAAGGTTTCTGAACATTTTGGTAAACCTTAAAAAACGTATGTATGTTTGTGTGTGCGTGTGTGTGTGTGTGTAGTATGTATGTATGTTTGGACACAAGTTTTCGTCCACGATTTCGAGGGCACTGATAAACCAATTTCAATGATTCAAAAAGCAATCAAATCCTATGGATAGGGAGACGTACTAATTAGTTTTGGACAAAGATAGGTCCAGTTTCGAAGATATGGGGCAAAAAATTCCAAAAATGGTAATTCAATTTTTGAGAATCGTTCAATTTGAATGATTCCAATAATATTTTATGTAGAAATACAAAAATGCAAATACAAAAAAGAAATACAAATACAAACAAAAGAATTGAATGAATTTTTGTGAAAGCAAATCCAGTGGTTTTGGAGATCGAGAAAAATAAGTAACAAAAAATGCTATTTCGCGGTCAAAAATGATTATTAGACATATGCACACAAATTATCAGAAGTTTTATAAAAAAATTAATGATAAGTATACATTTTGTTTACATTTCTATGGGTTTACAGTTACACGCTCTTACACGATAATTTGTCTCTAAAACAGATACACATTTAAAAATTTTAAATTGCGGTACGAGAAGTTCCAGCAATTTGCCTTAAGGCACTAGTTTTATTTCTTTTCAAAATATGTTACAGTATTAGAATAATTCTTGACTGCTGTATAATTTGCGACTTAACTAACAATAAGAAACTTGGTTTATATATAAAAACTCCACTTGAAATCCGAGAATCGGCAAAACTGCGCACAAACATATACATGATCTATTATATATCTAGATTTGCGTTCGTGCGAATGCGAAATGAGACGCATTGAAGAAACAATGGCAGTTTTAATATACAAATGTATATATATCGTATATATATATATATATATATATATAAGAATACGTATATATGTTCATATATTGCTTATAAAAGCAATGTCGTTTTAATGCAAAATAGCCTTGAAACTTGTCATTGCATAATGTTAAGTAGTGTGTTATTAATTTCATTCCGTATTAGTCACTTTGATAAAATACTTAGCATTTTGTTACAGATTTTTAGAACTGCAAAAGAATAGCATTTGAAATAAATTGTTTAAACACTTTAAATACAATAATTCTAATAATTATAAAACTGTTGATATGGTCTTTTCATTCATGTGCACTAATTATTAATATATGCCTCATTCATCATTCACCATTAGCGAAAAAGTAAAAAAAATACAAGCAGTCAATGAATGTATGTTAATTTTAATTACATGAAGTTCTTCAAACACAATTACATGATGAGTGAAGTTGCGAAAACAATATTTGTTTAGGCGTTGATTAACATAATCCACTGTGTGAACAAATATTAAAGAAATATTAATCAGCAATTACTTCATTTCTCTAATAAAGGTTCATTTCTAAATGCTAATTACAATGACAAACCGATCATGTCATATTTGAAGTATGACTTTAATTACATTATTGTTTTTAAATATTATACATATTTTTAATGCTATTATAAATATATAATTTATGGTTTATCATTATATAAATGTGTATAATGATTGACACTAATAAATATGTGCATCACGAGTGTTAACATATTACTAATAAACATTATTCAAAATTGTTATATGATATATTTACTTCGATCGCGTGTGAAACTTACGCGCACTCTTTTTTTTGTATTTCAGGTATTATAGCTTCCTCGTTGATTAGTCATTAGAGCTATGGGATTCGAAACTGAAGTTACAGGTTCGATACCAACCTCGGAGAGCCTGATGTCAAGCAGTAGTGATATCAGTTTTCACTTGGAAGTATAGAAATCAATGTGGTTCCAAGTAAAAATAGCCCTTCAGAGCTTTGTTGCATCATTAAAAAAATCATCAGTATTATAGATATTGCAGTAATAAATTCAACACAAATTGCGAAGTATTTGTGTAAAAAAATTTAATAAAATTAAAAAAACTCCTAAAAACAAAACAATAGCGTAATATTAAGTGTAGTTTTATTCCAAAAGATTTATTGTCTTTAACTTAAAAAATATTTATTTTGTATAATCGTACATCCAGGCGTACAGACCATTGCTTGAATTAATACAATTTTAATAAATTCAAATTCATCTTCATTACAATCAATAATCTTCTTAAATCAGATCTTCCATTACCTTTTCATCTTATTTGAATAAGATATACTTTAATCATCTATCTGGAAGAATACTTTCAAAACAAAAGACACCAAAAATCGCGTAGGAGAAAAATGATTTTCATGAATACCCGATGTTACAAAACATTATGAAGCATTGTTTTACGAAATTATAAGTCACTAATCCCTATTGTAAGATTTTAAAAGAAGTACTTAGAACATGATTATATAGAGTTAGGACAAAGAATATTAAAATTTCATTGGCCAGAGACGTTTGAAATTTTTTAAACAATTGTTTATAAAAGTTGACAAATTATAAAAATTCAGTATTCAACTTTAACTTGGTATTTTAATGTACATGATTCAGTAATATCAAGCAACATCAGGTAAAGGTAATAATCATTTCTACATTAGTTACTAATAAGTAAGTTATAGTCAGAAAGGTATAAAACGGCTCTTAAAATTGCTAAAATGTGTAGAATAATTTCACCAAAATAGATGTTTTTGATAAAATCATTTTATATAGATACTAGCAAACTGGGCGAACTCCGTTTCACCACCAGATGGTTTCATTTTATGTAGCATTTTGTTTGAAAAGATGAAGAAAAAAATTGTCTGCTGTTGAAATTGAATAAAAAAGCACAATACACGTAATTGATTTGATGGTTTCCAATTGAAATGTTAGGAAACGAATAACTTATTTTTTACATTTTTTGGACAATTTCACAGTGAACACAATATGCCGGTTCGTCACTTGAAATTAACTGAGCAGAGAACAATGAGTAGCTGTCAAACAAAAAAGTAGCAGTCAAACAAAAATATTAGTTTGTAGTACATGCTAAGTATCAGAGATGACGCTGTATGTAAAAAACGATTTTTCCGCTTTTCTGGATTTTTTTCTTTAATTTTCTTTGCTATAAACCTTGCGGAGTCCGAGACCTTTCCAACGAATGCAAAATCGTCGAAATCGGTTCGTGCGTTCTGGAGTTATATCGTCAGGAGGGAAAACTCGACTTATTTTTATATAATAGACTATGTAACAACCCTGCGTTTAAAAACAGCAATCACAACAATAAGAAGAACTAGCTGTAAGTGGAATTCTGTCTTAAGGCAATTAAGGCATCGTGCCTTAAGGCAAATTGCTGGAACTTCCCGTACCAAAAATTATTATTTTTTTAAAAACAATTAACATTTTTGAAAAAAAATTACTTTGAAAAAATAAGATTTTTGAGAAACTATAAATTGGACAAAAAATAACTTTTCTTTGAAAAAAAAATTTTTTTTTAAAAAAACATTTTTTTTTTGAAAAAAATTTTTTTTTTCTGTATTTTGACATATTGTAGAAGATCTGAAATTTTTTTGAAAGCAATCGTACTGCTTTAACTGCATAGGGACAAAATATAAAGCGCGTAAGCGCCGCGTCGCTGTCTAACGCATAAGCATTGGTACAGAACCCATAGAAATGTTAACAAAATGTATACTTATTGTTAAAATCTCTATAAAATATCTGATAATTTGATGTGCATATGTCTAATGATCATTTTTGACCGCCAAATGGCTCATTTTTTTACTTTTTCCTCCATATCTCCGAA